GTAAATTTTGATTTCTGAATGCTGAATTAAAATTATCTGACAGCCGAAAGCCATGTCCAGCAAAGCATGAACAAAGCTGGTTCATAGTGGATTTGAAGTCTTTGAAAAATTACTTTGATTTCTCTTATTCTTACGTTTGTACTGCTCGGTCGCTTTTTTTACACTGTCCCAAAAATGAAAAAGTTAGAGATGATCCTGGAAATATACTTGGTAAAGTGCCGAAAGAACGAAGCGGGAAGGCAGGCAGTACAGAAGCATGATTTACTAGGCAGTGATGAACTCCGATTCCCAAGACGCGTATTAAGAACCTGAGCTGTCTTCACTACCTTTTTTTGAGGCATATAACAAGTTTGGAGATTTGAAAAAAACAATTTGTAGACTTCGAGTGCTGGACGATTCGCTGAAGTGAACAGCGCTGCTTCACGTACACAGCTGCAGCGGCGAAAGGATGTCGGAAATAAACTTGACTTTGATTTGAAAGAATTTGAAGGTCAAAAGGTCAAGAATTTCTCTCTAATAAGAAGGAAATTGCGGACCCACGGATTTCTTTATCAGTTCACTTTTTAGTTTTAGATAGGACGGTTGAGTGGCAATATTTTGCGCACATCCCAGTAGTCACTTAAAAGAACAATCCAGAATTAATAGTTGAAGTACTGTCCAGTTGAAGTTTTTACTGATACGGAAAGCCACTTGATGATTTGGGAATGTCAGTAAGGTTATCAGTATTGCTTGGATGCTGTTGTGGGGAACCCATTTTAATGGGATTTTTCAAAACACTATAACATTGTGAAATCAAATTGGAAAGAAACGGTAATGTGACTTTTTGACCGTTTCTTTACTGGCATCCAGTGGATCCTATAATATCAAGTAAGGTATTTGAAAATTTACATATAAGAAGAATGAATCAGGCCAGTTTGTATTCTGTATTTCATCCCTTAGCTATAAATACAGGCAGAGCCTTAGATAGTGATTTTGTGTATCAATATGAAATGCTTGCGACTAAGAATGCGAGGCTAGTGCTTTAGTGCCTCCGAAGAGGTGTTGTGCTGGCTACAGGGTGTTCAGTGTCGAAAAGCTTTCTGGCGGAGAACTCTCGATCTTCTGCACGAGGATACTGATATCTTCCAAGGCACATTGCCTGTCAGCATGCTAGTAATATGCGAATTAGAAAGCCTACCTTTCGAAGGGAAAAATCAGTGGTATATCTACCCTTCAAAAAAAATAGTTTTCTTAACTCGTACTGGTTTCTGCTTTTAGTAACATTTTTGCTTCTGCGTTCCAACCGTTTAAATGTAGTATTTTTTCATATAACATTAAGATCACTGCTTCTGAATCCGTTTTCTTCGTTCTCCAGTATATTCTGGTGCTTTACATTTGAATTTGGCACCTTTTTAATCAAGTTTTGTATAAATTTGGTAAATTTTTTCTTTTCAATAATATTTGTTCCCCCGAGCGTTCCCCTGACTTTCTTGTTTTGAAAAGGAATTTACTAGTTTGTTTTAACGTTCTATTTTACTGTAAAATGCTCCCCAGTTCCTCATGGTTGACTAAAAAAGAAAATTTAGGTTGTTGTGAAAGAAAAGGCAACCACAGCAAAAGTTCGAACTCCGCGGCCAACAACCACAGCGCCAACAACTAAAAAATCCTCAATCAAGTTCACCAAAGACAAAGAAAATGCAGAGGCAGCGGCAACAGAAGAGATGGAAGTGCTGGGAACGAAG